TGGGCCATATTAGACACAGAACCTGCACACTGCACACTGAGAGCCAGAGAATCCTTAATAGCCAACTCATCAGACCGTTTGGAAAGTAGTCTGTTATCTCTGGGAGTGACAAGGTTCCGGGCCACCACCGCAGCAGTCATATCATTCTTCACCACCGAATCCCCAACGGTAAGAGGACCAGTAGGGGATATGAATGATGGGCGCCATATGTTGTCTGGAGAAGGCGGGACTGCCTCTTCACCAAGATTCAAGTCAAAACGACGGTCGGAGGGAGGTCCAGACATTTTCAAAGTGTTGAAGGAAGAAGAGATCAGACAAATCAAGAGCTTAGAAGTACAAGAGGGGAGTTTTCACAAGCGAAGTGTGCTTTGAAACGAACTGCGTGCCTCTATAAAATCAACACTCGACGGCATTTCAGAGATCGAAGAGGCGAGCTCAGAATTCGAAGAGGCCATTCAAAAATCGAAGAGGCAAGCTCAGAAATCGGAGAAGCATCTTGCTTTTCCAGACGCGTCGGCACCCGTCACACGCAAACTCAGCTTTGCAAAAATCACGGGCAATTTGTCGAAGCGCCGATCCCAGATATCGAAGAGGCGCCAGTCTTTTTCAGCCACGTCAGCACCCATCACATGCAAACTCAGCTTTGCGGAAATCACGGGTAATTTTGTCGAAGCGCCGATCCCAGTTATCGAAGAGGCGCCAGTTTTTTCAGCCGCGTCATCACCTGTCATATGCACACTCAACTTTGCGCAAATCACGGGCAATTTTATGAACATTTTAATCTAAACATATTTGGATTCTGATAAATATTGAAAAATCACTAAACCGATATCATGAAACTGGTAAAACAGTACAAAAGAATATGAATGTAGACATCGAAATTTCGGTAAATAAATGTTGACCGATAAATCAAAGTGTCAACGCTCATGTATTACATAAATTTTACACGTAGCGTGTGACTCAACGAAAATTGAAATGAGTTGGAAAAATCATCAAATAGGACACGTGTCAACACCTGGCAGAAACGACTTATTTCATCTGGAATATTATATTCAAAATTAGGCCTTGGAAATTTCTATAAATACAAGCCCATTTCATTCATTTGGGGGAACCAATTCATATTACACCTTGAAGCTCTGAAGCTCTGAAACTCCGAAGCTCTCAAGCATCCAGGTTCCCGAAGAATCAAGAAACCCCTTTTCGTTCTTCATCAAATACACCTTCAAGATCAAGCCCCGACGGCCCTTGAAGAAAGTGTTCTTCGTTCTTCGTTCATCGTTCTTCCAAGATCAAGCCCCGACGGCCCTTGGATCAACCATCCACCAATTCAAGATCAAGCCCCGACGGCCCTTGAAGAAAGCACCATCGTTCATCATCCGTTCATCCAAGATCAAGCCCCAACGACCCTTTGGATTAACAACGTCGACAAATCCACACATCCAACCGTTCTTCAAGATCAAGCCCAAAAGCCCTTGAAGATCCGTTCATCACTGTTCTTCAAGATCAAGCCCAAAAGCCCTTGAAGATCCGTTAATCACTGTTCTTCAAGATCAAACCCAAAAGCCCTTGGAGATCCGTTCATCACTGTTCTTCAAAGATCAAGCCCAAAAGCCCATTTGAAGATCCGCTCAAATCCACCTTCAAGATCAAGTCCACGGCCCTTGAAGAACGTTCATCCTTAGATCAAGCCCAACAACCATTTGGATCAATCACACATCCTCAAATACACACCTTACGGAGATCGAATCAGAGGATCAAAATAGAGAGAGATTGTAACCCAAAATCATCAAATACAAATATTTGTTTGTGCACGTCGTTTCTTGTCTCTTTCGTTTCAGGAATTTTCCGTGTTCACAATGAAACACATAATATGATTTTTTTAATTACTTTAGCCGTTAGATTTAAATTTGGACTAGTAGATATTTTTTTACTGTTGGATTTGATCAAATTAGATCTTAACCATTGGATTCAAAGAATTTATAAGTACTAAAAAAAATATACATATATAGTGGGTTAGCCCCACTAACTCATGATGAATCCTGGGCTAAATTTGACCCAAAAATGAGTTTTAAGTTTTAACTCATATTTGCCCCAAGAGTTGGACCAAGTTGGGGTAAGTTTAGAACTTAAAATTTGAGTTTTACTCCAAGGTTTGGAGTATGTATAAGGATAATGGATGGAAACTAATTACTGACATTATCGGCCACTTGTAGAAAGACGAATAGAATATTTTTTTTATTTGACAATTCACATGGTTGAATTGTTGGTCGATACAACAGTTCAAATTCAAATTCAAATTTATAAATACATTAAATAGAACGGCAAAGATCGACAATGAGATCAAATGGCTAGAAATTAAATTAAACAGCTAAAACAATTAAAAAAATTATTTGAATCAAAATTCACCCAAAAACTCTATAAATACTTATGTATTTGTTCAAACATCTACACAACATTCACTTTCATCATACAATTCTTCCTTTTTTCTTTCTACCTACCTATGTATTTGTGTTTAATAATGGGGTAGGTCGTACAGTTTTTTATGTTCTTTCATAGGTTTAGTGATTTTTTATTATTTATCGGAATTTAAATATTTTTAGTTTAAAATGTTTGTAAAAATAAATTAGAATAATGTATATAAATTTTATTTTTAAACAAGTTACCGAATTAAGCTAATATCATTTTGTAATAATCTCGAACTAAAATTTTAAGTAAAAATCATTGAAGATGAAAAATTGTTTCTTGGCTAGAACCTAAATTTTATAGGCTACAAATTTAGGCTTTAACGCCAACCATTGGAATTGGTCTAAGGATAGTAATCCTTGTAAAGCTGGGAGAATTCTAGTGTAAATTCTAAGAAAATACTTTCTTCCTTGTAGGATGAAGATTGGGATGCCATCAATTCTGTTATGATTGGAATTCCTAAATACTCAAGATACTTTCCTAATCAAGGTATGAATATGTTTCCCTTTCTTGGTCAACAAATAGGTCTTCCTCAGGGAAACGGATCTTGCCTACCAATTCGGAGTGTATCAGACCAACTTGCTTCAATACCTCAATCCAGTGAACCGAATACAGTTAATGTGCTCACTCTGGTACTCGCTAGCCAATCTGGTTACATTCCGGGATCTTAAAAATCATCATCCCATTTTTGTCTCTAACTATCCTCTTTTAAGACCAATGTTCTAAAAAACGCTAAACGCTAGTCGGGGTCTAGTCGGACGCCTAGACAGATTTAGGTAAATTTCTTATATATTATATGAATTAATTAAACTTACTATATTAGAAGTAAATAATTATTGAATAAGATGTTATTTCTTATAGAAGAATATACATATGTGAATGTTTTATGTACGAGAATTGTTATTAACACTCTAAAAATCTTATTCTACACTCCAAATTTTCTATATTAGGAAAGAAAAATACACTTGTAAGGAGTGTAGAATGAGATTTTTAGAGTGCTAATAATACTTCATTTATGTACATATATTATTTATTTTATCTACATAATTTGATGGTCTAAGAAAAAAAAACATTATCCAAATAATTCATATAACATTTATATATATATATATATATATAATATAATATAATATAAACTATAAATCCCTCAAGCCCTATATATATATATATATATATATATATATATATATATTATGTATAAATCTCAAACTTTTGAAAAGACAAAAAGTGGTGGATGGTTTATTCAAAACCGTGTGCCACTTCCCCTCCTTCACATTCTCAATGGTGGAGTCCCACATCATCACACCCTTTGACCCTTTGAAAATTGAAAAAACCCTTTCTATTACACATTTTCGTTTCTTCTTCTTCCTTAGCCTTTTCAGAGCTCTTCTAGAGCTTCAAACTGAATTAATGGATCTGCAGCTCGCGCCACTTCAGATTAAATGTCAAATACCTTATCTCTCTCTCATTTATTCATAGATGGCAAGCTGCAGAAGATCGTCGAGGCTTTGCTGCTATGTACGACATCCAAAGTTCCAGATTTGTTGCGAGAGTTGTAGCAAGTTTATGATTTGCAGCCCCCTAGACTGCCACCTAACGCCGCCTAGAGCACCTAGAGTGCCTAGTCGGCCGCCTAAATCCTCCCCGCCTTAAGTAACCGCTTTAGCCTAAATTGAGTCGGGGCTCCGCTGCCCAGCGCCTAGGTGGCCGCCTAGCCGATTTTTTGAACATTGTTTAAGAAGCATCCCCTTGAGAACGGGAAATTACTTTCGGACCATGCCAAGTCCATTACACAATGATTTTCAAAGATCCCATAGCACGTTTTGTTAAACTGGTTGAATCTAGCTATATGCATTTCAGGTTCGACGCTACACTCTGAAAACGAGACTTTTCAAATTCACGCGTGCGCTACATCGAAGTAACTATTATTTTTACTAATATATCCCTAAATATTTTAGTCCTTGAATTTATCATTTCCGTAAAAAGTCACCCCAAAGTGAAACAGATCATAAAAAAATGACTTTAAAAAAAAAAAACTAACGAAAAATCTAAAAAAACTTTATTTATAATGAAAAACCTTTTTAAAATGTGGATATAAATGTAGATTTTCGTTAAAAGTGAACAATACTGAAAGTATTTTATTAAAACTTTTTTTTTCTTTTTTCTTTTTAGTTATGCTCCTTGGACTTGAATCTCACTTTACTACTTGAAACTCAAGTTGAGTTAAGTGAGGGTTGTAACTCGTTGGGAGGGAGGGTTTGAATAAAAAAGGATTGATGGAAGCATTGAAGAGCCAAACACCCACCATTATTAACACCTAATTTGTTTGTTTGTTTTTTTTATTTTTTTGGTAAACACCTAATTTGTTTGTTTCTTCTGCTGTTTTCTTCACTTTGAGTAAGTAGACTGTAGACCTGTTGATCTAGAAGAGAAGAGACAAACATGCGTACGTGTGTTTTGTTGACTGAGCAAAACAGGCGGTAAATGCCGTCTGTATTATGTTAATCATTTTGTATTAAATATTTAATCTTTTGAATGCGCGTTGGACAATCAACCCAACAATACACCCACAAACCAACCAGTGCCACAACCCACAATCAAGCCTGCTGCTTCTGCACTTTCTTGGTAATTTAACACTCTTTCTTTCTCAATCGATTTCTCAATCGTTTTTTCATCTCACTATTTCCAAAATTTCCATACTTAAATACAGTCCTAGTCCAATTGGTATCCATAGCACTGAGCCCAAAGCCTTAGCTTTTCTGGGTTTTTCTCACTTTTTCATCTTTCATCAAAGAATTGGAGATTCTTCTCCAAATTCGAAATTTGGATTGAATTTGGGGATATGGGTATTGGGTGAATTTGAATTTGTCAAAAATAGCATTTTTTGGGGTTTTTCTGAGTGTTGTATGTGGGGTGAATATAATGTTTGTGAGGTGAAGTGGGTATAGGGTGAAGTATGAGTTCTTTGGAAGGTGAATTATAGATAGTTGATTCTTTGGTTTAGATTCTTTGTGATGGAGTTGGGTAAAGAAGGAGGTTTTGTGAAGGTTTGGATTGGTTTTGGCCCTTTTGGGTGGTGAATTTTGCTTGTGGAGGAGGGTTTTGTGTTTTGTGGGTGGTAGTATATTTGTTTCTAGTTCAACATGGGTTTAATATGTACCAAGCCGTCGGCAGTCGAAGATAGCCGGGAAAGCCCACCAAAAAGGACATCTTCGATTTCGAGACGGCACCACTCCGAGCTTAAGGTTTCACGGTTCGGTTCTTCGAAAAGAGAGGATCCAGTTTGGATTAAAGACAGATTGGGTGGTGGTGGGGATGTGAAAGTTATGTTGGTGGATAAGAAAGTCAATGGTTCAATGCGATCATATGATCAGACTAAGAGTAAGAAGATAGACAAGGCTGAGGCTACTTTTCTTGACCATCTGGGTTCGAGAAGAATTCCCAACGCTACGGTGGCCGAGCAAACAGCGGCAGGTTGGCCACGTTGGCTCGCTGCAGCAGCCCCTGAAGCTATCAATGGATGGATACCACGACGCGCTGACACGTTCGAGAAGTTAAATAAAGTATGGTCAAATCTTTACTTGATACGTATATCTCTTATATTATTGTATAACTAAAGCTATTGTCTAAGGAGTCAACTAACAATATTTCGAAAAAGAAAATTGGCGGTTTTCTAAATGCTGTTAATTACTCTTGTTCATTTTAAAATTTGTCAGTTCCTGATCTTTGTTCTTTTTGCATATTGTGGCATTTTCTTCCTTCAGATCGGCCAAGGAACTTATAGTAGTGTTTACAAGGCTCGCGATGTCACGAATGATAAATTTGTTGCTTTGAAAAAAGTCAGATTTGATAATCTCGATTCCGAGAGTGTCAAGTTTATGGCAAGGGAGATCCTTTTCTTGCGCAGGCTTGATCATCCCAATATAATAAAGTTGCATGGATTGATCACAGCACGGTCATCTAGCAGCTTGTACCTTGTTTTTGAGTATATGGAACATGATCTTACAGGGCTTGTATCACGCCCAGGCATTAAGTTCTCCGAACCTCAGGTAGTCTATCACTTACGGTTCTCTTGCGTTCTTATCTTTATGGTACTTTCCTCTAAAGGAGAAATATTGGCAGATCATTTTTAATGGGCGTCTCTACCGCAGATCTATGCAAATAAAATAGCCCATTTATACATAAGGAAAACGAGGACCCTGTACGATACCTAATTGTAGTGTTGCTTTTATTTCATTTTAGGTGAAATGTTACATGCAGCAACTTTTAAGTGGTCTTGATCACTGTCATAGCCATGGTATTTTGCATCGTGACATAAAGGGGTCAAATCTTCTTCTTGACAACAATGGCATCTTGAAAATTGCCGACTTTGGCTTGGCAAGCAATTATGATCCTCGTCACAATGTTCCATTGACAAGCCGCGTTGTGACTCTTTGGTATCGGCCTCCAGAACTTTTACTTGGAGCCTCTAAATATGGTGTTGCTGTGGATTTATGGAGCACTGGTTGCATACTAGGAGAATTGTATTCTGGAAAGCCTATCCTGCCAGGAAAAACAGAGGTAATATATTGAGGAAATGTACCCCCTTAGAATCCATGCATTTTTATGTCCTTATGGTTTAGCTTGAATCATTATTGGACTTTTGACATGTCATTGTGAAGTTATTATGGATTACATTGGGAACTGTTATTGGCACTCCAAAAATCTCAATTTGCACTTCTCGCAAGTGTATTTTTCTTTCTAAATATAGAAAGTTAGGAGTGCCAATAACAATTCCCATTACATTATACTAAAATGATAAAGAATTGATCTCTTAGCTCTTGATTTTTATTTTAAACTTGCAGATGATTTTGAATATATGACTAATTATGCCCAATTCTTTCATTGTAACAGTTTAATTTATGACGTAAATATGATTATCATCTTAGAATATTTGGAGTTTCTATATATTAAACACATCAGGTGAGGGAATAGCTAGAGTACAGTCTTGATGTATCTCGAGGGATTTATATGAACCATAGATTTGAGTTGCAATTTACGTCCTTGGCAAGTGTTTGACATATTCTGTGGACTTAGTGTGAGGCATTGGCAACGCTGCTTGTTCTTCACAGCTACATTTCCCCCACTATTTGTTTGACTTTAAAGTTAATTTCTCTTCTTCCTTCCTCGTCTAACAGATAAACCATAAACACATATGTGGGAAAATATTTTGCTTAGCCTTTCATTGAATGTGTCAGTAACTGTACGTATTCAGATGGTGCCTATTAATTTATGTATATTTCCTTGTTATAGGTTGAACAGTTGCATAAGATTTTCAAGCTCTGTGGTTCACCATCTGAGGATTATTGGCGTAAATTGCACTTACGAAATTCAACAATGATCAAGCCTCCTCAACCTTATAGAAGATGCGTGGCAGAGACTTTTAAGGACCTTCCTGCTTCAGCTCTGCAGCTTATGGAAATTTTACTTTCTCTTTACCCTGCTGATCGAGGAACTGCTGCAATTGCTCTCAAGAATGAGGTGTGCACGCTTTATTTTCTGGAAACTGCAAAAAAAAAATAAATAAATAAATAAATAAATTGGTACCAATGCTGATATTTTAGTTATAATATATATATATATATATCATATTTATTCCTAAAAGTTTGTGTACCTGATTTAGGCTGGGAGAAGGATGTGTGGAACAGAATTAAATTATCTTTCAGAAACTGTGCTTACAATTGTTCCTTTTCCTTTACAACCTTGAAACTGTTTCATTTAATCATCTAAGAGGCCTATCATTTCTCTGTTGTAATTATGAATGTTCTTTCAACAGTTTTTCACCACAAAGCCTTTTCCTTGTGATCCTTCAAGTTTGCCCAAGTACCCACCCAGCAAAGAGATTGATGCCAAATTGCGAGAAGAAGAAGCTAGAAGGTACGTCTTATTGGTAACACATTAATACTTTTGACAAAGATGATACAAGGTTAATCTTTATGCACTTTTTTTAGGCAAGGAGCCAGTGGAGGAAGGGGTCAGAAGGTAGACCTGGGCAGGAGAGCACAACTGTAGCGTTAGCAGAACAAATGCTGGAACCTCCAAGACATCACTCGATTGCAGAATTGTAGTTTTATCATCTTTGTGTTTAAAGGTACGGATTGTAGTTTGACATCTTGAAGTGACCCATGCTCGTAATTAGTCAGTCTATAATGTTTAGAAATTTGTAATAGTGTAGTTTTGTATAGGTAAATATACGGAAGAGAAGAGGTATTTGAGTGAAATTGGGAATGTGATTGAAGAGTGAGGGAAAATCAAAATTAAATAAAAAGAATTATTTAGGAGATACTTCTGTTGTGAAGATTTTATTTACGTATAATTACAAACCTAGCAGATTACCGGCCATTGTGTTTGTCATAGATTCACTTTTGAATTAAATAGTTCATATCTTGCTTGCAGGAGGAATTAGAACTGTTGTTTCGTGTTTCGAATTAGGGGAGCGTTCTAACAAAAAAAATTTGTTGATTTTTTCGTCGATTGTGAAGAAATGCTTGCAAAGATCTTTCTTTTGAAACTCTCTTTCACTCTCACATACAGGTCATTCGACGGTCATTCTCTGCATAAATATTTTTTGCTTTAGTTTATTTTGCTCTCCATGACGAGGATTACAGAGGGGAACAATCATTCCACCCAACCCTGAGGGGAACCCTCATAGGGGAAAACTCGTTTCTGGTTTCTGGACCATTCCAACCAAACATTTCTTTTTTTGCGAAGCGAGGAATAAAGACGCTTAGAAAAGATTTCGCGAGAGCAGCAATGAGTAGAGGCGTTCAGTTTCAGGACTTCACTAAGCCCATGGACCTGGACGGGCTAGGTCGGAAAGGAAAACCACAATGAGTTCTTTTTTGAGTTCAAGAATAGAGCCAAGCTTGTCGAAGTTATCTGGTTTAGTACTACTCTATGGACTGTCGGATGTCACGACCAACAAGAAGAACGCTACAGGAAAAAAATTTTTCATGGCCAACGTAGATTGAATGTGCTCCATTTTATTCGGTTTGTTGCAATGTATGCAAATTTTTGCTGTTCTTGAGAACAGGGTGAAAACTGGTTGAATGATGACTGAATTCACCAAGATGATGTCCACTTTCCTACTCAAGTATGAAACATAAATGAGTGAAGGGTTTTACTGTTTATAGAACAAGGAAATAAGAAAATCTCATAGTGTTTTGAAGTTTGTATGTTCGTTTTAACTATGAATACGTCAGTTTTTTAGCTCGTGCTGGGATTTTGATTTTAATTTAACACGAAAATTTAGGGCTTATTTAAGCGTTTTTTAATTATTTTACAAGGTCTCATTTTATCCATTTTCATTCTTTTTGTGCGACCTTATCCACTCTCTGCTCATCCACCATGTCCAACTTTACCTCACGCTCTTTCCTCGTTATGTCGTGAACTGAAAGATAGCGTAGTTTCGTTGACATTAATGTGAAAACGGGCAAAGAAACTGAAGAGCTCCCACCACATTCAACGAATACTAAACCACGTAATTTAATATATTAACGGAACTATGTATGATTAAAAAGCTTTCTCCCTTTAGCAATGGTTTTCCCTTTATTCCCATTTTAGTTATTTTTTTCCAATTTTATTCTAAAAATAAGAGTTTAATTATAATTAAGCCAATCAACCAAAACGAAGAATCTTGATTTTTCAGGCTTAACATCATGCAAGGAAAAAGTATGGACTAATTATCTTTTGAGAATCAAATCCCTTTCTTCTTAGATTACTTAGAAACAAGTCCACCGGCGTGCTCAAGAATAGCCCAAACAAGTTAGGCTTAACTGCCCCTATGTCCCACAAAAGTAGCTCCCACAATCTGCCCAAAATGAAGAAAATCAAAGTGGGCTCCGGCCAAGTAAAAATTCAACCATCTTTTTACGTTTCTGACCTCACAACTCTATTCATTTTTACTAATCTTTATCAATTTGTTTTCCAATGTTAAATTCCAAGATTTTTTTTCTTTTGGTCACAACAAAAATGGGTTGAGAAGTAATTGGTTGGGTTGCAGAAGTCCACTCTTGCTTGGGGCCAAAAAAATGGGTGAGAAGGTTGGTTGATTGCTATCTACTGACTTGAACACGGAAAATGAGATGAGGGTGCAACAAAGTGTAATTAATAATTAACATGTTATAATTAGTTTGACCTTTATTGGAATTAGACAATCATTTTATTTTCAAGAGATTCTACTTATAAAGTTCACACTTCAGCAAAACATAAAAAAAAAAAAGCATAAAAAAAATAAAATTTGTGAATAGTAATTGCTCTTGCCATTGCCTTTTCTAAACAAGTGGAATTGTACAAAGGTAACTACTATTTAGAATGAATAGTAAAGGCAACTTACATGTCATTGTCCTTGCCTTGCCTTTGCCCTCCTAAAAGAGTAGACTTGCTCTTAAAGTTTAAGAAAGTTATGGTTAATTATTGTTCGATCTTAATCTAATAGTCGAGGAAAATAAATCTTCCCTTAATTTTATTTATTTACTTTCTTCCACATTGTCTTAGGATGAATTTGTACATATGATTAAAAAAATAGAAAAACTAATGAAAAATGCTTCAAATCTTTCTATTTTAATAAAAAAAATCATCTACTAATTTTATTTAATGACAAGGACAAAAGAATTAAAAAAAAAAAAAGACACAAAAACCCACCCGCTTCTATGGCGCATCCCCCAACCCGCCCCTACCCCCCCCCCCAGCTCCCCCTTTCCACACTCCCCTCTTTTCTCCCATTGTCAGCTACGTTAAGAGGTTTTTTTTCTTCTTCTTAGAATAAGAAAAAAAAACTTCAAATTGAATTACATTCCCCAGTTTTATTTTTGTGGTATTGTTCCCAATAGTAGTCAAGATAACAAGAGATTTTTCAATATGTTCGAAACACTAGGTCGTACACCCCGTATTTCTATACAAGTGGTGAGATCCTTGTGTTAAAAAATTAATAACATAAAAAGTAAAATTTCCTATCACTTACATAATAACACGTGATGTACCACTTGTGTTACAGGCACAATGAAAAATTTCTCCAAGATGACACCCAAGCTCAAAATGGATGGAGAGCTCATTTATTATTGTAGTATGCCAAAATGTGAGGGAATAATTTGGGTAATTGAAAACAACTTTTTAAATATAATTATTGAGAACACAATCTTCTCAAGGTTTTTATCTAAACGATCACTTCTGGGTTCATCGTTTTCAGAGAAATGGGTGCTTTTACAGACCAAAAATGATTTAAGTTTCAAACCTTATGAAGCTGAACCAAGAATTAGATATTATTTATAAAACTTGACCAATAAGTAGACACATTATGAAATTAGAACTAAGTTTATTTATGAAATTTAGTATAAGTAGACATGGAACGACAAGAGTAGAATTATTTATGAAACGAAATCAAGAAACTGACACTAAACACTAACTAGATAGGTAGGAGATGGAAATGAAAGAAAGAGACACTATTTAAACTGTACCAAAACTTTACTACACTATTTATGAAATTTGACTAATAACTAGGCACTATTAGGAAACATACTGAACCATGAAAAGAACACTATTTATGATTGAAAGTGACCAAGAACTAGGCACTATTTATGAAACTAAACCAATAAATGTTGTCACCATTTTAATTTCAGGGCGGTTTTCAAAAACAGTGTCTGTGATGGACGCACTTTTCGTGCGCTTCATTTTTTTTTTTATATAAAATTGTGTCATTTTTTAAAATAAGTTTTTTATCATCTTTTATTTAAAGATTTTTATTAATATTTTAAATTTTATTCATTAAATAAAATTATAATGATTTTAGATTAAAATAAACTTAACCCAAATTCTTTGTGAAAGTTCCATTAATTATGAAGTCAAATATCCTACGCAAGACTTAAAACAGCGGCCATGACCACGAGTTTCAGTTGTTGATAAGCGGAGTGCCTGATCTGAGGGGTGCTTTTTGGATGAAATGCACTTGGGGTTGCGCGGCAACTGGAGCATTGGCTCAGAGCCATAGGATACTGGCTTGGAGCTTTAGCAATTCTAATTTTTCCATCGGCGACGCTTTGGTGACTCAGAATTTACCTTCCTTGGTGGTGTCGGAGAAAAGTCTATTTTCGGATCAAAAGGGTTCGTCATGGGGGTTAGTGTTGCCGGGTTTTGGTTGCTGTTGCGGTGGTTGTGGTTTTTTTGATTTTGGTGAGGAGGAAGAGGAGGAAGGAGAGGAAAGGAGAGGAGGATGTAGAGAAAGTTGAAGACTGGGAATTGGAGTACTGGCCTTACCTGATAGATTACAAAGAGATACATGCCGCGAAAAGAGGGATTTCCCGAGAAGAAAGTGATCGGGAATGGAGGACATGGGAAAATGTATAAGGGGTATTAGGAGGAGGAGAAGTAGCACTTAAAAGAATCTCACATGACTCACATGAAAGGGAACATGGGTTGAAAGAGTTCGTGGCCGAGGTTTCGAGCTTGGGAAGATTGAAGCATAGGAATTTGGTAGGACTGAGAGGTTGGTGCAAGAAAGAGAAACGCAGTCTAATCTCGGTTTATGATTACATGGAAAATGGTAGCCTGGACAAGAGGATATTTGTGTGCAAATAGAGAAACTTGTTCAGTTGGGAAGAGAGAATTAAGGTGTTGAATTGTATTTGCATGGGGGTTGGGAAGCTAAGGTTTTGCATAGAGATATCAAAGCAAGCAATGTGCTACTTTGATAAGGATATGAATGCTAGGTTAGGGGATTTCGGATTGGTCCGAATGCACCAACATGGGGAAATGACTGGCACGACACAAGTGGTTGGGACGGCAGGGTACATGGCGCCAGAAGTGGTTCGAACGGGAAGAGCCTCAGCTGAGATTGATATGTTTGGTTTTGGGATAGGGTACTAGAGTTGGTGTGTGGATGGAGACCGATAGAGGCAGGGAGCCGGGGTTGGTTGTTTCGGTATGGAGACTAATGGAGAGGGGAAAGTTGAACTTTGCACTTGATGAGCGGCTCAAGGCGAAGGGCGGATACAGCGTGGAGGAAGTTGAGAAGTTGCTTCATTTGGGTTTGTTGTGTGCATA